GGGACCATTTTTTTCCTTCATCGTCCTACGGCTTTTCGCGCACAATCGATAGTCAAAGCGTGTATATCTCACGCGCCACGACGTATACACGTGTACGTGAATGCATCGTTGGTACACGTGCCTATCATCATTGATAGATGTAAATCTACAGTGTTGTTTTCTCATTCTAGTTTATTATTGTAATTTTGTGCAAATGAAGGTTAGTGTACGACGAACATTGTTCGGTTCAGTAAGCGCACGAATCGATTCGACCAGGATGTCTCGAGGAAACATCGACCATGTACCTGCGAATACATCGATGTAATATGTGATCTGGATAACCGCTCGTTTCTTTGGGTTATCTCGATTCTTGGTTCACATTTCGTTCCTGTGAGCTCTTTTCGTGACAGGTAAGCGTTTATTTTTATATATGTAACTCATAAAATTTATTCTAAATTTTCTTGAATCTGATTAATTTGGACAAAAATTGTGTAATCTTCTGTTTTGAAATTTTAACCTTACTTTTGCACAATTATTATTATTTTTTCTCGAATATTTGATAAAATATTAAATAAATAAGCGGAATAAAAGGAATTGGAACTATATAAGAATTATATTTGATATAATTGCATTTTTAGTGAAATAAAAATGAAATGGTATGTTAAAATAGGAAACGATACGATATTTAGAATAATTTTATAAAATTAAAAAATAATTTTAGGAAATCAATCAGACATTAAAATATAAATAAATGATATATGTATTTTATGATCGAATATTTTGCATATTATTATGGTAAAAGATGTTTAAATAAATAATAATATTGCTAGAATAAGTAATCTTTTAATTATTTCTTTTTATTATATAAAATCAATATTCTATTTACATTATTGTTTGCAAATATTAAATATTTATTATGAAACATTGAAATCTAATATAAAAAAAATTATAATTCGAATAATGTTCAAAGTAACAAATTAATAATGTTTTCGAACATAATTCACATTCATTTTTCATTTATTTTCAATTGACACTTTATTTAATTTATATTTTGTTTACAGAAATATAAAAAAATATTTTTATTTATTTTATATGTTTTTTATTCATATTATTTTTTATTATTTTTTTAAAATATAGATATTTTTCAAGTATTTTATAAATTTGGAAAAATAGTTTCGATTTGTTCACTATCGAATCAACGAAATTTATTATTTAGTGTTTCATAAGATTTATTTTCATAATCAATAATTGATTAGGATGAATAACCTATAAGATTGTTTTGTGAATAATCGGGGTCAAAGTTTAAATATGCAAATTCGAAAAACTTGTGGAATTCTTCATTATATTATCATTAGTAAAAGAAATCAACATATTAATAACGTTATAAAATGATAAGATCGGTAATTTTATTTTGTATACGCAGCGCATTATTTTTTTTCTAAAAGATTGAATAAAATTTAATACGCACTAAGTATTAAAAATTTTTTTTTTTTGTATTTATATATTTATTTATATATATTTATTTACATATAGTACAATATATTATATTTTCTACTGAAAATTTTATATTGCTATGATTTTATTATTTTGTAATGTTCTTAGAAATCAACTTACTTTATATACTTAGACACGAACTTTAACATGAGAATTACATATATGATTCGTGACATTTTCATGCAAATTTGTAAATAACTTAGGAAATAGTGAAAATTGTGGCCATGTATGACTTGTTATGATTTTGTTGCCAGTTCTTGTGCTATCTGGTATTTCGACAATGATAATTACAACAAAAGAGTAAATAGACAAGTATATCTCGAGTACGTAGTTCGCTTTTGGTGTCATGTTATTGTCTCGCGAAATATGTTATCGCGCATTGAGGTTATATTTTTGGGAGATGAGTTATTGAAACAAGTAGGTATTTTTGTTCATGTGAATTGGTGTGGAAGTAAGTAATTATCATATTATAACGATATATTGTTGTAAATTTTACTGGTATAGTTAAAGAAGATATTTTTATTTATTTTTATAGAAAATTCTCAATCTTTATTTCAATTTTTAAATAAAATACTTGCTGCAAACTTATTAGGAACTTTATATGATAGTATTAGTATATAATACTAATATAATATAATAGTAATTAATTAATTAATTCTTTTTACAAAAAGAAATTATAAATCTAGGAATATTTTTAATTCACTATTTTTAATCAGCATATTTCTATTACAATTATTATACACTTTTCTCTTATTATTTTTAAAATTATATTTAATACAAAATTAGGATTAAAATCTTTAAAATAATTTATACAATTTACTTTTCGTTTTATAAATACTTTTCTGAAAAAATTTTCAATTAAAAAAAGATGTTATCAATGTTAAACAATAATAAAAAGAAAGAAATAAAATTTCGACGAAGGAAAGTAATTAAATTTACTTCCTTGAGAATAATTATCAGCCTTCATTTTGTTCAATCTCACGAGTAGTTAATTTTCACGGGAAACTAGATTCGAAAAAACAATGCGAAATTCAAGTATCACGGCGAATTTTTACATTTGCATTTATATTCTCATTCCTGTCCAGAACATTCATCCTATTGTTCATATTTTTCCTGAAAAAAATTCTTTGCAATTTCAATATTAGGATGTCCATTCTCCTCCATCCTGAAGAGCAGAGGTACTGAACGCGCGATTAAGCGTGACTTATAAAGGTTGCCTTTTTAAAGGAGATAGAGACTTGTGATGAATTAAAATTACGACGTGAAAAGAGCACGTGTCGAACAAAAAATTGACCAAGAACCATCGTAATTTCATCGTATTTTCCAAAAGTTTGATATCAATCATTTTCTTAATTATGCTAATATTGAATCTCTCTTTAGCTTCCTTACTTAATGAACTAGAATTGAAAATGTTAATGCCAATTTTGTTTGTCAATCATTTTCAATAATGATTTTATTAAAAAAAATTTTAAGCTAAAAAAAAGTTAAAATTCTTAATCTTATGTAAATTTTATATTCCATGAATTGTATGATAATTTTATATTTTTTATCAATTTTTTAGATATTTTAGATTAATAAACTTTTGAAAATCTATTTCAATAGATATTTGATAAATAATTTTTTTTAGATATAATTCTTTAAAATTGCAATTTATATGCAATTTAGTATTACTATAATAAATATTAATATTTATTTGTTTTTTAAATTAATTTCTTTTTTTTAAATTTTTGCAATGAATATATGAATTCTTAACTTTCGATCGGCGGAATAAAAATTTTTTTTATCCCTTTATCGAAAGGCACCTATTGAAGGCAATTTTTCGTTCATTTTTTTGAATTCGGACGGTTGGCCTTTTATTCTCGACGAGATTCGGACGAATAAGAGAACGATGTAATTTTTCTTCTTTTTATAGATTTCACAGTTGGCACTCTCGATATCTATAATATCTTTTTTCTTAAAGATCCCGACGGAATATGATAAAGGATCCGACATTTGTCTTCGTATGAAGAAGGAACCATTTAGCACAGTTGCAGTATTGCTCCCAGTGGAACGATATTATACGAGAAATGTCTGCTTTTTGACAAGGTCAAATATTTTATTTTTACATTTTTTGTTGAATGTATAAGGTAACTTTTTTTTTATTTTTATTTTATTTAATTTATAATACTAGATTTATTATAATTTCATGTTATTATAATTAAATTCTAGAGTTTTTTTATTAAAAAATATCTTTAGAGAATATCAGGAAGATTAAACTATAAAATTTTAAAAAATATAAATTGAAATTTGATTTGTTTGCTATAAAAACATATTTGAATATTTGTTTTTATATTTTCATTTTTGTCTCTATTTTCTAAAATTTTCTAAAAGATTAGTTTTGTTATTATTGGTACTACTGGAAAATTAAATTGTGTTTGCATCCATTCTTTAATTATTTATAAGGTTATGTTATATTTTTTTTACAAGATACAAAGATTCTCTTTTTATTTTATTCATTATTCTGTTTTATACTTTTTAAAATATGTTTTCTTTCTCTTTAAGTTACTATCCCTTTTACGTTCAACAAAAATATAAAGGGAATTCTGAGCTATATTAAATTAAATTTTAATTCCTTTGTTTCATAAGTATCCAGCTTGAGCCATCCAATTTCTTTCAAATAGCAATGCAACTATATAATGATATTTGTATAAACTCAACAGAAAAAATCTAATAATTGTATCTCATTGATATCATACTTACATTACTTACATGAAAAAAATCCTAAAAGCATAATTTCATCATGGATTGAAATTAAAAGAAAAAAAGAAAAGAAAAGAAAAGAAAAAATCGACACAAGCACACTCAAACGATGATTCGATAAGACTGGATCAATAATTTATATTATTGAAATCATCTTGTTCAAGTTTAAGGGAGCAGGAAATGAAAGAGTGTATCTTACGTAAGTACAAGTTACACGAAATTCGAGATGGAACGATCTCGCCAGTTTCCCTCGATACTGCAGTTCTCTTGCTTCTTGAAAATGTAATCTTTTCTGGGATTGGGGAAACTCGGGGATGGCCGAAGTTGTACGGAGGAACCTTTTATAAATTCAGCAGCCGGTATTCGGTAACTTTTGCAAAGGTTTGGCCTGGCGAAGTTTCCATTATTCCACCAGTTCCATTGTCGCGTCTCAATTTCGCGTTCCTCAAATTCAAGATGCTGAATCGATTCCAATATCCTTTTGTCCGCGATGGCACACGATGACACCAGATAAGTAATTTCATTAAAGATATACGCGGGGATCGATTTATTCTCAGCACTTGGTGGTAACAGATTTATACAAAAATATAAATATATAAATATATTTTTTTTGGGGAATTAAAGAAATTTGTTAAAACGGACTGTTATTCTATTTTAATTCTATTTTAATGATTTTCGACATTTAATATTTTCATCCGTGGACTTTTCTTTTTTTTCTTATAATTATATAAAATTGAATTTTTAATAAATTAAGATAGATATATTTTATTTTTGAAGTTAGATCGTTTGATGAATTAAAAAAAAAAAATTAAAAAAAGAATATATTGAAGATCTGTGGTATAAGATATTTGATGCATGATGATGGATCATAGATCATCCTATTTTTTATATTCTCTCATAACTCTATTAGAATAAGAATAAAAGTAAATTCAATTTTTGAAAACCAGTTTGCTCGAGGGTTGATCCACAGGTTGGCAATTCGTGTCTATCTCATGCATATCCTTTTGATATTAGAAGTCTAATTTTAGATTATCTCTATAGAAAGAAGGTTCATAATCTTCATATCTTTCAATGGAAATGACATTTGATTTCTAAACACAATTACGGAGTTTTTTTAACAAATAAATGTCTTTGGGGCTAAAAATTATACATTTTTATTCAAAATCATTTTTAAAAATATGTAAAAATGATTCCATTTCTTCAATAATTATTAAAACATTTCTTTTTTATAAATACTTTCCATTATCTTGTCTTTATCGTATTCAGAAAATCATATGATTGTTTAATAAAATTATTATGAGGTGGAATATCATGTCACTTTGTGACACAAAAAAAAATTACATATCATATTATAATAATAAAAGTTTAATAAAATTATTACGGAAGAAAATTACGCGTGCATGTCCGTTTTTAAATAATTATTAGACGTTTTAATTCTTTTTAGCTTTTTAGCCAGAGAATTTTACGCGAAATTTAAAAGTCTCGTCGTATAATTGAGCAAGGTGTATGTGTATTTCAGGAACTGGGTTAGGTTAACAGCCGTGATAAGTTGAATAGATAAACATGACCGATCGAAAAGTCGGCTGTTCGTCAAGGCTATACCCATTTTTCATTTATTTAACAGGATTTATACGCGCCAGTGATTACGTCCAGTTGAAAAATCGCGTTTTTCCCAGAAAAAAAAAACAAATAATAAAAATATTAGTCTATACCGCGAACCTTAACAGTTAAATCGGTTATATCCCTCGTTATCGATATAATGATGACTTTATTACATGGATATCGTTTTTTATTAGAAGAATTATCGTAAAATTGCCTCGTTGTTCAGTCTCCGCTAGCATTATGTCGTTCTTTGAATACAATTGAAATTATATAACATGACAATATATATATGTGTGTGTGTGTGTGAAATAATAAATTACATGGAATATATTATAACGTATATATAGTTTTAGATTTTATCATGAAAAAAAAATATTATTGACGTTTATATATATATATATAAAGAGAGAGAAACACTCACAGATATCAATATTCTAATTTCATAATTCTTCCACTATTTTAATTATTTCATTTACATTTATTTAAAAGAAAGAGAAAAGTAAAAATATTTAAAGATGATTAAAGATCGAGTCTGCAATTTTTCAATTATTCAATTTCATCAATCGATTTATAATTCTTAGAAAAAAGAAAAAAAAGGAAAGAACAAAAATTATCACGTTAAAAACTTCATCCCAATTATCCAACGAATATCACACATTACGAGTGATTAAAAATTCCAATTTTCTTTCCGCAAACAGCCGGATTTCCATCCCCTTCCATTAATTTGTCATTCGTGTAATGGACGGTTGATTAGCAATTTAATTAGCGGAAATCGGTATGTTTCGCATCCACGTCAGAATAAACGCACACTGGCGCATAATCGATACTTTTGTAACAATGCACTCGCTCCTTTTCTCGTCACGCATCCGACGCGTCGTTGGAACACGAGTTTTTATTTCTTTTTTATCCCATCTCATCTTCGAAAATCGAAGTGACGCGATAAATTCGAAGACGTGATAATCGAGCGGAATAGGAATGTATAGGAAGAGTAAGGAGAGATATGATTTCGTTGATGTAAATTTTGATTGGAGGGAAGGGGGAAACGGTTGATTGTCACGCGATCGATGTTTCACATGCATGCCTCAATATTAATTTTCAATGAGCGATTTGAAAGAATCAACCGCGCCTTTATCGTTGCGAGAGAATTGCAAGATGGACGGGATACATTAGTTGGAATCGATGGTGGATAAAAATGGTGTCTTACAATCTTTTCTTTTGAATTATGATCTTTCTTCTGTGTAAAGAAACTTAGAAAAATTGATACAGTTAATTAACAGTTTTTATAAATTGGATGTTTTAGAATAAGTTTATTTATTAAATAAATTTATTACAGTAAATCTACTTTTGAATATAATTAAATTGAAATATTACTTAAGTCGTTAAGTAAAAATGATGGATATCTTATGAAAGAAACTTTATGCAAGATCCAATTTATGATAAAAACTTATGACTTTGAATCAATTTTAATATCTTTCTTATGTACTTATTTCGATTATGAAGTTACAAAATAATGGATTCAATATTTATATGTATAGATAAATTATAATAATAAGTTTTCGCATCATGAGTTGAGATATTATTGTGAAATAAAGCTTTTGATGATAGAGATTTGATTGTGTGACGAAATTTGAAATTGTTCTGTCATGGATGATAAATGCGCATTATTAATAATGATGATATCGAAATTATCTAATTATTACGCTATTATATCAATGAACAATAGCGTCAGGGATGTAAAATATTTAATTGTACTCGTGCTTCGTTGATAAATAATTTTAAAGAGAAATTTATTGATAAACTGTAGTTTTACTTTTTTGAATTGCAAATTCTTTCTTTCAACCACGAGATCTATCGAGAAACGAATCTAAATCTTTTGAATACAAGGAAATTACATTTGTAGATTACGAAGACTATAAAATCTGTAGAATGTAGGATTTATTAAATCCGGAGAGAGAGAGAGAGAGAGTAGGAGAATCGGAAATAAAAATTTTACAGCCTATACGATTTATAGGCCACAAAAGTTATGGGTTTATGATTTACACGGATTGTCGAGAAACACGTAATATAGCTTTAGAGGATCGATTGTGTATGTAGAAAAATAATAAAAAGACGAGGCCATTTAATTTTATTAAGATTTTGCTTAAGAAACGCCTGCACGCAGGCAACCAGTCCGTCCGTACACGCTACATTTAATAACGCATTACAATGTCACAAGAAAACTTTTTAATGGAATATTTTTAAGTTGATGTAATCGTATCATTAACATGCATTGAAATTTTAATTTAAACGAGAAAATGTTTTTTTTTGTTTCCTTATTAAACATAAAAACGATTTAGATTTATTTCTTATTTAATAAAAAGTGTCTTAATCTTTTTAACATTTGTTTAAAATTACAATGAACAGGTAGGATAAGAGAATTTGAAATAAATATCTGTTTATCTATATTCAGATTTTTCATTCAGGTTTTTTTACTGTTAAAAATTTATATCGTGATACAACTACATAAATTGAATGTGATACCTGTTAGAGTTACGTTATAACGATTCTATTTTTGTCAACACCATACGGTATTGATTATTTCCATAATGTCACAACATTTACCTTGTTAATGTGTCATCGATTAAGAGAGATACCTTTCACGCGCTCGTCGTTGAAAATGTTTCGTTCATTTCTCATAATATATACTTTCGTGTTGCGTAATTAGTCGAAGATTTTTACTTTATTTTATTGTGCTATGAATCTATCGAATCTTTTTTTGTAATGTATTACATAAATATATTGTAAATTTGGCATTCATTGTTATCACTAAAAAATTATTGCTTATGTAAAACTTGCAATAAAAAAAATGTGTAGATAAAACATGGCTTAAAAAAATATTGTACAGAAATAGAAATCTAATTATAAGAAAACTAGGTTATGGTGTTTAAAACGTGCTTGTTAACTTTTTATAACTATTGCATGCTTCACAAGTTTATCATTCTTTATGAAAGATAGCATGTTATTTTAATACTTATTATATTACTGAACACAGAAAATTAGCATATTAAAAATAATCTCTATAGGATTTGGAGAATGTCAATTTGTACAGTTTGTACAATTGCATGTTATTTCTGATTTATAACTGTCTAGTTGTTAAATTTATCCTTAGGTCTAAGATTCCTTGGTTTAGGACACCTCCTGATACAAGTAGAGAGGAAGTATAGGTTTATTTGGAAGATAGAGGAGAGAGTTCTTAGTGGAAGTGGTTTTAGTATGTTTAATAGAGAAGTTTCTAACAGAGAGAAATTCATTGAATTTAAAGAGGAGTTTTAATGTATCTTGTAGGAATAGTTTAGTGGATTTATAGAGGAAGAGCTTAGTAGATTTAATACAAAAAGTTTTTTGGAAAGATTTTAGTGGATCTAGAGAAGGAAGACATACAATTAATAGAAAGATTTTAGTATATCTAATGGAAGAAGTTTTAATAGTTTTAATTAAGGATTTCTGTAAGGATTAGGTCAAATTTTATAATATCTAATATCAGCAGATTGAATATGATTTATTTTTTTCCTTTGCTAAGTAATTTTTTTCCTTGATTGAATTCTTTTATTTTTATTACAATTTGTTTATAATCTCTCTGTATATAATATTTTTTAAATAAATCTCTTGTATTCTGCAATTCTATGTATTAAAAAATCTAAGATGAATTATAGATGATTCAATAAGAATGAAAAGAATTTGTGAAAGTGTGAATTCAGTTTAAGCTTTTTTTTTTTTCCTCTTTAAAGCTGATGAATAGCAGCTTTCTAAGATAGAAATGTTTCATTCTTGTGTATCTCTTGTTCTTTTTGTGCCTTTGTGTGCTTTTGTGAAATTGTTCGAGGAAAGCTTTTTTTCTTGGATGGAATTGTATCGTTGGTGATGCGACTTAACGATTTTCCTATAATATATTATCAAAGAAGATTCGTATAAAGAAATTATTTTTCACGTAATGAAATATTGCATCGATTTGGAAAAATCTATTAACCTTTCCATTCTTTCGAAATAGTTTTTAATCGTGCAATTTCTATCGATGTGGAAGAATTGATTTTGGTCAGTGATTTGTCCTAGAATTTCAAGGAGTTCGTTAAATGTCAAGTCGGTTTCTATTTGAAGTCTCCATTATTTTTCTGATGACGTCGTTTCCTTATCTATTATAGATTTGATTATCAATTATTGAGCATCCATATCGATTCTTAAATAGGGATGTAAAATGTTTATTAACAAATATTGCAAATACACAATTTTGTATTCTATTTTAATATTCCTTACTTTTTTTTTATCTCAAATTTATTATTACATTATAACAACGATATCCAAATGATCTCTGATCATTTTAAAATCAACGTATGAACAATTTTTAACATTTTGAATTCTCAACAAAAAGATAACTCTGTTCTCGTTTAAATTAAATATTTTTCTCTGTGAAAATTTTATCTTAAATTCTTTTTAAAGAATCGATGCCGAATTTTTCAAAAATACATAAATCTTCAAAATTGTATATTACTTTAACATCAATCGAGAGTATTTTTTAAATTTTCGTTTTCGTCTGATCGCGTTATAAATTACTGTATATTCAATTTTACAAAGAAAATTGAAAATTCCATTTCATGTTGTTACCATGTTGTTTCCAGTATCACGGAACTGCCGTGAAATTCTCGAAATTGAAGATAATATGATTAAATGTTGTAACAGAGAAAACGCGAGGTCGGAGATATTTCACAGTCCAACTTTAATATAAAACTTCGTCAAAGGGTTGATTGCGAAATATCCCAAGCTAGACAGAAGTTATATCGTTTTATTATTTAACGCTTGGCACGAAATTCTCGCGAACCGAGACATATTTAAAATAATATGAATTCGCAAGAGTGCTCGTTTCTACTCTGTGGAGAAATAGAATGATGTATAAGTAGATCGTTATCGTCTCGTTCTCGTTATATTACACGCTTACGTAATGATGCTAATGATGTACAGTGACTTTCAAAATTATATACAGGCCGTTGACACATTCGTGTAGAACTTTCGAAAGATTCTAGGCAACGAGAACAGAAACAAAAATGTTGCACGATTCAAATTTTTTATATAATAATTTTATAATACTTTAAACAATATCTTTGATCAAAATCATTCAAATCTTAACAGTTTAAGTATTAAAGATAACTTTTATTCTAATTGTTAAAAATTAATAAGTAAATAATAAAAAAAAAAAGTAATTTCATTATTATTCCATTCTTTCTCCCTAGAGTGGAGATTTTATGATTTTCTTTGTTTCTTTTTTTCATCTTTTTTTTTCCACAGAACGTTAACAAATTGGCGAACGAAGGACAGGAAAAAAAGGGGGAAAAAAAAGTATCACGTGCAAACGATAAGGTCAGTGTCGGCGTAGGAGACACGAACATGTCTTCTCCAAGCCTATATGTCTATATTGTAAAATCTACTACTATATAATTCCGTTGAACTAGACCTACTAACATCGAGACAGCTTTTGTATCGATCTATTTCACACGCAGGTAATGTGTGCTTTTAGCAAACAGCTGCCGGTCTACGCGTCTCCGCTTCGATGACCGAAGTTATGCGAAACCGAAGTCTATAGACAGAAGAGTACATATGGGAATGGTCAGGTCAATATGTGACTTAAAAAAGAATTAAAAATCGTGGAATGAGAATTATACGATTCAGGTGAAATAATTTCTGCAGTTTTTTTTGAAATATATATGTATATATAGGGATTGTGAAGAATTGATTTTTATTTCATATTTCTGTGTAATTATATTTCTAATATTGTATAAATTTTAATTTTATTCTAGGATAGATTTGTTTATAGGGAAAATTATCATTGATCTTTATTTCATATTGTGAAGGATGGATATTTGAAGGATATTTATTTAATTTTTGATAACTATGATTGAAAAATGGCATTTGGCATTTGATTCTATGAATCTATGATTTATGAGGTTTGATGTTAAAGAGAAGTCGAGGTAAAATTAGCATTTCATTGCTGAATGTTATTATAATTACTTTTAAAAGAAACTTGTTCTTTTTTTTAAATCTAATTTAAGTTTCTTTATTCGATTTTCATTTTAGATATCGAAAAGAAGATATTTTGATGACATTATTATCAAGAGTAATATATCAGCAATTTTGAAGTTGTTCAGGATGGATAAGACATTAGCTTTCTAGGAAAATTTTTTCATTCAACAAAGAAGTATATAGTAATTTAATTTGCGAATTTTATTTTGATATCTTAATAAAATTCGATTTTATATTATATTTTCAATAATTTCATTCAAAATTATCTTTTATACAATATAATTATCATAATTTTTCATTCATAATTTATTATTTATGATTTTTATTAATTTTAGTTTCTATTATATAATATATTTAGTTTTAATTATTGTTTTACATGTTCCATATTTTTCCATTATTTGAGAATGAATTTATACATGATTAATAAATTATAAACTTCAGAAAATATTTTTCTTCATTTAATTCTTTCAAATTTTTGTTAACATTTCATTTTATTCACTTTATTCATTTAACAAAGACATTCATGTGCTTCTTCGTTGACTCTACGTTATAGATCCATAAATTTAATTAAAATATTATAACTTCGAAACCAAGCTCCATAAATTGTAACGACTTTATTGTTAGATTTTAGGAGGCAAAAGCAGTAGAATGCAATTTAATTCATTATTCCTTGTAATTATATATTTATTAAAATTCATTAGTTATGAAGATTCTTAAAAAAGTATGAAAGAAAATTGTTGTTCTAAAATTCGCAATAATTTCTATATGCAATAATTTATTTTTTCATATTGCTTCATATGAATTAAAAAATTAATCGAAAATTAAAACATTAACGATTAGAATTTATTTTTTACTTAATAAAGTTTTTTTTGCAAGAATTTTATTTTTTAGAAAAGAGAATTATATTTTCTTCACTTGTATTATTCTAATTTTTAATGATAATGATCTATTTATATTTGTTTCTATACTAAGAAAATATTGATTTATATTTTATTAGTATTTACACAATATTCAACAGTGAGGTATTTAAAAATATCAGTTTGATATCAAATTGCTGGCAACACAAAAGAACCCTGTCACAAGAATGATTTATGATGTTGGTATAATCTATATATGCATATATAAAAATAGTTTTGCATACTGAGAATTTGCCATATTGCAATTTTTATTCTTTTTTGTATATTATGCGTCAAAAAACTCGATAATTGAAGTTTATATTTTTTCCTGAAAAAGACGATGCTTTAAATCAATTTTCAGAGACGTATAATTTTTGTAATAAATTTCAAAGTATGTAATATTAATCAAAAGTAAAATTTAAGAATCTTTTTACTTTAAAAAATTTATTCATCAAAAACGAACGAAATGAAATTAATTAGGCAATTTTAATGAAAAAGAAGAAGTTATAATGAAAAAAAAAAAAAAAAATTTGAATTCACAAGTGTATGTATATTTATATTATATAATATTAAAAAAAATTGTTAAAACGATGAACGAAAGCTCATTTTTTCACGTGAATATTTCATTTCAATAATTTTAATTCTTATTCATTATCATAAAACGGTAAAGTTTTTTTTACAAGATATGACATTGTTACATTTAGCCTTCACTTGGTTAATAGTAGAAAAATTGTTCTGCAAGTTTTGTAAGGTTAATGATAAGTTTCAAAAGGAATGCTATCAGTACTTTGATGATGACTATACCCAAGTCTACCTATAAGACTTTTTTACAGTGGTAATCAATAGATGACCTAAATTGGTTCGATGGTAAAAACGACTTGTAGCGTTTTTAGATAGTTCTGGAAATTGTGCTTTGAAACACTTGAAAGACATATGAAATTATAATATTAAGAAATTTTATTTTATAATTAAAATTTTAAATAATTTTGTATCTTTTATTAATCGAATTGACGTTATCAAAATTTAATATGCGATATTGTTTGGAGGAAATATCGATTTATCGATTAATTTCATCGATATAATCGATTATTAATTAATATTATAATATTCTTTCTCAACTCGATTTTGAAGAGAAATAAATAATTCTTTTTCTAATATTTCTTTCATAATTTATTATATGAACAGATTATAAAATTTCGAAAATGATTAAAATCGATGTGTACATTTATATATATATCGATATATAGAAAATAATTATTAATATTATAAATATTAATAATATACAATTAAATATTAATCGAAGTATGATTAAGATTTATGATTTATAAATTTATGCATTATTCATAAAATAATATTATGTTAATAATTATGTAACAATTAAAAATATGAAATTTCACGATAATTTAAATTTTTGAACGTTTATCATTTCTATAATAATCTATAGACTATAGTAATATACTATAGTAATTATTACTAGTATATTACTATAGTAATTTCTATAGTAATTTCTATAGTGATATAGTAATAATTTAAATAATATTTTTTATTCAGATTTGTGTGGCCAAAATTTCATTTCATTTCTTATTTTTAATTAATTAATTCTTGTATTATTTCAGAGTCAAAGAAAATCTGAACTAGAAGTATTCCGGTACAAAGTGTTCGTCTCGAGATTCTTTGTGAGCTGGGCATGGTCTTAGGGACGACGGCGGGGCGATGACGCTCTACCACCGTCGTTCGTCATCGCCACG